TTGGTTCTCTCCTTCTACCATGTGATTCCAGGAATCAAACTCAGGTCTTTGGGTTGTCTGCAAGTGCCTTTACCTGCTGAGCTGTATCTCCAGTCCCCCTCCTTTTAACTAAAAACAAAAGAAAACAAAATGAACAACCCCCCCAACAAAAACAAATACCTGAGCCAAACTCATATAAACACTAATTAAAGATACAGTAAAAACCACAGCAAATTAAAATAACCTTAAACATTTTAGTGTATTCCCATTCGTGTGTGTATGTATACACACATATATATATACTGTACCTGCTGGAAACAATCAAGTGCTGAGAAAAGCAGATGCGCGCCCAGTCAAATCTACGTCATAGCTCAACATACAGAAATCACAGACTCTAGCAATTTTTTTTGGTCTTTTTGAGACAGGGTCTCCCAGTAACCCCAGCTGTCCTGGAACTCACTATGTAGACCAGGCTGTCCTTGAACTCACAGAGATCTGCCTGCTCTGCCTCCCTCGTGCTGGGATTAAAGGTGTGCGCCACCACGCCCAGCAACCGCACGTATTTTTAAAAAAGCAACTATAAGTTCATATTAGACAAACTTTTAAAATGTAATTATTTAAATACAGATTTAAAATGGTTGATTAAAGTTATACCTATTGCAAAATATCTAAATGATCAGACATAAAATTAAAAACAACTCATTAATTCTATTTCCAGAGTTAAATATAATTACTCTTTTAAATGCTAAACAATATTCTATTATGTAGACACACTATAAATTTTATTTTGGATATTTAGGTTGTTTCTACAAAAATGCTACATTAAGAGGCTGGAGAGATGGCTCAGCAGTTAAGAACACTGACTGTTCTTGCAGAAGACCCAGGTTCAAATTCCAGCACCCACATGGCAGCTAACAACTGTCCACAACTCTAGTTCCAGGGGATCTGACCGCCTCTTCTGTCCTCTGCAGGCACTGGCACGACAAGGGTGCACTTACCTACATGCTGGCAATACACACATACACATAAAAATAAGAAAATATTTTTTTTAAATGCTACAGTAAATATCCTGTGTATGTGTAATCATTCTTGAACTTTTTATCTTTCCAAATTTCTTGGAAAAGAGATTCTAACATTTCTCTAGCTTTTCCATTTTTAAAATATTTTTATTTATTTTAAAGTAAATTTTCATTTTATGTGTATGAGTGTTTTGCCTGCATGTATGTAAGGTGCACCACATTCATGCAACGCCCAAAGAGGCCAGAAAAGGGCACTGGATACCCTGGAGCTAGAGTTACTGACGTTGTTAGCTGCCTTCTGGGTGCTGGGAACCAAAGCTATGTCCTCTAGAAGAGCAGCCAGTACTCTTAACTGCTGAGCCATCTTTCCTGCCCCAATTTTTAAAAATTTATTTGTAATTATATGTTCATGTGTGGGTTGTGCATGTGTACCATTGTCTTTGGAGGTGTCAGAAACTCTGGAGCTGGAGTTACAGGCCGTTATGAGCCACCTGACTGGGTGCTGGGAATCTCAGTCAGGTCCTTCAAAAGAGTGTGATTAACTGTTGAGCCATTTCTCCTGACTGTAGCTGCTCCTTCTCCTCCTCCTCCACCTCCTCCTCTTCCTTATTTTCTTTTTTAATACTTCTTCCTCCAACTTCTGTCATACAAATGTCATATACCAGAAACATCAGAATATGTTGAAAAATTAAATAAACCAACACAGAGCCAGAAGGATTTGCTAATACATTGCCTTTGTGAGTGAGAACTAAAGCTTCAAAGCGGGGAAGGGGCACAGCCTTTTTTCTATTAGACAGTATTCTTACTCTGTGACCTAGGCTAGACCTGGAACTCACTATGTAGCTTAGGCTGAGCCTCCCATCTCAGCCTCTCAAGTGGTTAGGATTACAGGTATGGGCCAGCTCCTCTCCCTTTCTCTCTCTTGCTCTCTCTCTCTGTCTCTCTCTCTGTCTCTCTCTCTCTGTCTCTCTGTCTCTCTGTCTCTCTCTCTCTCTCTCTCTCTCTCTCTCTCTCTGACAGGTTCAAATAGCTCAGTTTGTAGAGTGCCTCAGTACTACATAAAACAGGGCATGAAAGGCTGGAGAGACGACTCAGTGGTTAAGAGCTTGTACAGCTCTTGCAAAGAACCCGAGTTCCCAGCACCCATATCTAGCAGCTAATCACCCGATACACCAGTTCCAGAGGGTGTCCTGTAGGCGTCCACAGGTACCTGCACTCACATGCACAATGCCCTGCCGACCCCACCCCCCACATACACACACATAATCTTAAAAAATAATAAAAATTTGAAATTATCCTGAACACAAACAAACCCAAACACTCCAACAAAACTGAGCTGCGAGACTGTAATTCCAACACTTGAGGGGTGGAGGCGAGAGGATTGCCTCATGGGCTACCTGAGATGTGTCTCATAACAGAGCAAAAAACCACCAGAACTCACTATGTAGTTGAAGCTGGCACTGAACTCCTGATCTTTCTGGTTCTTCTTCCCCAGTATTGGGATTATAGGTCTTTGCTACTTCACTGGGTTCACATTTTTGTGGTGCTGGAGATGGAACCCAGGCCTTCATGCTTACTCCAGGCAAGCATGCTACCAACTGAACTATCTTGGGTATATCCCCAGCCCCTCTTTTCCTTTTTTTCCCCCATTTCTTTGCTCTTTCTCTCTCTTTCTCTCCCTCTCCCTCTCTCTCCCCCTCTCCCTTCCCTCCCCCTCCTTCCTCCCCCTCCCTCTTTCTTTCCTCTATCTCTCTCTCTCTCTCTCTCTCTCTCTCTCTCTCTCCCCTCACAATGTAGTCTAGTGAGTCTTGAACTCCAGATCTTCCTGCCTCAGCCTCCTGAGTGCTATGATCCCACATGGAAACCAACATGGAAACCAACATGGAAATTGTTTGTTTGTTTGTTTGTGTGTTTGTTTTGTCTTATTGAGACAGGATCTCCCTGTAGCTCTAGCTGATTTGGAACTTGCTGTGTAGACCAGGCTGGTCTTGAACTCACAGAGATCCCCTGCCTCTGCCTCCTCAGTGCTGGGATTAAAGGAGTGCACCATGGCACTTGGCCAAGGAAATAGTTTTAAATTTGGATATTGGAAGTATGGAGAGGGAAACCACCTAGTTGGGTGTCACTACCTGTAAATTTGAGAAAGAATTACATTTTTTTTTCACAGCTCAAGACAAAGATACATAGACAATTAGAGCCAGTCTCTGAGGCCATTTGGATTTGATACTTGACTTAAAATAATACTACTGGGGCTGGAGAGATGGCTCAGTGGTTAAGAGCACTGACTGCACTTGCAGAGGACCCGGGTTCGATTCCCAGCACCTACATGGCAGCTACGTACCATCCTTAACTCCATTTCCAGGGGAATCCAAAGTCCTCTTCTGACCTCCGCTGCACCGCACAATACGGGTGCACTCACATACATAGAGGCAATACACTCATACACATAAAATAAAAATAATAAATAAAATATTAATACTACTACTAATTATTTCACTGGGTGAGTTGATGTGAATTCAGACACAGAAAATATCTCCAAGTCATAGTTCCTTACCTTCTTCTAAAAGGCATAATAACAGTGCTGTGTGGGATTGCTACAAGAATCAAGTGTGATAACACACGGAAAGTGCTTAGGCTTAATTCTTGCACATTATATGTGCAATGTAATTGTACTTAATTGTAATTGAAAGAAATGGCAATAGCATCTATTTAGCCAGGAGACAAGAAACTTGACTATCTAAAAATAGTCATCAGTCATCTTTTAGAGCAATTCAAACATTAAATGAACAATCTTTTTGCCTTATTATTTTATGTAAGCTACATTATCTTATGTATGGGAGAAAAGTTTAATAGGCCACTGAATGAAATACATAAGAATTTGCGCAGGAATATCTTGTCTGGAGGACAAAAAGTAGAGATGGGCTATCCTGCTGGCATTTTCTGACTCCAGATGGTAATTTTTCTGTAAGGGGTGGAGGGATGTGCTAAGAGAATATTCTATCCCCCCTGATACTCAGGATAGAATATTTTATTTTATTTTTAAATTTATTATTATTTTTATTTTATGTGTATGAATGTATTGCCTGCATGTGTGTGAGTGCACCTGTGTCGTTCCATGCCTATGGAGGTCAGAAGAGGGCGCCAGATCCCCTGGAACTAGAATTACGGATGGTTGTTAGCTGTCAGGTGGGTGCTGCAAGAGCAGTCAGTGCTCTTAACCACCGAGCCATCTCTCCAGCCCCAGGATAAAATATTTCGTAGGAATGACAATTGAATTTAGCCAAAAGGCCAAAAAGGTATAAGAATGTCAAAGGAAATAAACTATTTCACATCCTTCGTGTTCTGCACACTTAAAAAAAAAATTCCCACACAAATTATCTCATTTGGTGATTGCGACATCCACGTTGGTAGGCAGGCCACAGTACCAAAATCTCCCCCTACTGACCATGATTCCAGAAACAAGGGCCTTGACAAGTTTGCAGAGCCGGAACAAACACAGGCACCAGGTCTTCTGATGCCTATTTCTCCATCACACGCTCACTTAGATTTTTATGCAGCCACCGATTCAAGGAGCATTTGCCGACCTCCAGGATAAGAGTAAACTTGAACTTCAAGCCAGTCTCCATAACCCTTTACAAACTGTCAGGAAGAGAAAAGAGAAACCCGTCAGGTACACTGCTGAGAACGCAGGGTATGATCCTCGGTGCATAGACTACAATAGAGCGAGGGAAGGTCTGCATAACAGTTAGTGTGCGTCCAGGACTCCACTGTGCTGAGCAGAGGGCTGTCCGCGCGTGGACCGGACGCTGCGCGATCCGGGGATCGGCTAGCGCTCGGGCCGCCGCTCCTCCTTAACCCGCGCCGGGAGGCGGTGGCGGCGGCGGCGGGAGGGAGAGGGGGAGGGGCGCGGAGGCCGGGGAGGAGCCGGGGCCTGCAGCGGAGCCGAGCCGAGCCGGAGCCGAGCCCCGTTGCCACCGCCGTCTGTCCGTCCGTCCGTCCGTCCGTCTACGGGCTCCCGGGAGTCAGGAGTGGCGGCAGCCAGCCCCGGAGGTGGAGCGCGGGGAGACCCACGCGCGGAAGGGACCGGGACGCGCCTGGAGGGGCGCTGCCGCCCGGGAGCCGGTGACCCGAGTCGGGAGCGCGGCCTCTGGGACCACCCTGCTGCCCCTGCCGGTCGGGCGGGAGCTGGAGTGCGGGAACCCCACCCTCCGGGGCGCCCCGGCGGAGGAGGCGCAGGGATCAGCACCCTCTCGGTGTTGGACGGAGGACCCTCCCCACTCCCGGGAGGGCCAGAAGAGATCGCCGCGGGGGACGCGGCTCTCCTCCCCATGCTGGCTCTGGAGGAGACCCCCAGAAGTGGAAAAGGCTGTCCTCTCTGTAGGAACCTGAGTGAGACCGCCCCAGCCCGCCCGCACCCCCCAACACACTCCAAACAGACTTTGGAGCCTACGGAGTAGGCACCCTGCATCCCACCCAGGACTCACTCACTGGAGAGGCGTTCGCACACTCTGAAGCAAGGACGCTCCAGGGAACCACCAGGTGTCCGGTCCAGCTTTGCTGGAGAGTGCAAGACCTCTCCCCTCAACTTCCGGGCACCTAGACAGTGGACCCAGGCGGAGCCCCTCCGCTCACATCTCCAGCAGACAGAAAGAGCCCTCAGCCCCTGAAAAATCCAGTTTGGGGGGGAGGGGGACTCCCCCAAAGGGGAGGAGACAACTCCTGGTTGGGAGAGGCTCCTCCCCTCCTCCCTAGGGTAGCAGGCAGGGCGTGGGGGGTGTGCCACCTTCCCCAGGTAGGACCTCCATCTCCCCCTCCTTCGGCTCCTCTTCCTCAGGGGACTCAGGTCCCCACTCCGGCTTGGGAGGCCCCACCAGGCACTGGAAGAGACACCGAGGATGAGACCTGTCACCTGCATCTGAAGAGGGGAATCCCTGCAACCCCAAACTTCTGTACCAGGTGGTTTCCTCCCTTGGCTGGAGGAACCTTGGAGACAGGTTAGTGCTTTCTTGGGTCTTCTCTCTGTGGTTGTTAGGCACCAAGTAGGTGCTGAAATGGTGAATCTTGAAATTCTTTGCTGGGGAAAGCAGAGCGATAACTCAGTCCCCAGGGAAATGTGTTCTGAAGGAGCTTGGGCATCTGACCCCACATGTTGCTGCAGAGACTCAGACATTTGGGAGACTAAAGGAATGGGACTCATTTGGGGTCCCTAGAGAAGTGATGTTTCCATTTTGAGAGCCGAAGACAACAGGTACCTTTTCAGGATGCTATGACTATTGTGTTGTAAGGTGCTACACAACACAACCAGACTTCCATAGCACCCTCTGTCTTTGAACCCACCATAAAGTCATGGTGGCATCTTGTGTCCTGGTCTAGTCTAGGGGATGCCTACATCAGCTTCATGCCCACCAGTGGTATTCTCTCCAGCCCATTACAATGACTGCCTACCTGATTAGCAATCTTTCCCACCCACTCTCTCTTGGCTGTGGAGATGCCTCCTTTGCCATTCCTGCTACAGCTGGATGAACACCTCTCTGTGTAAACTCCAAAGGGAAAATGTGAATCCCATACATCCTCAAGTGAGAAGAGACTGTCCAGGGCAGTGCTCACTGGTGGCCTTCCTAAATTCTTGCTTTGCCCCGGTCCCCCACATACTCACTAACATTGGCTGCCAATGCCTCAGGAAAATCAGATCATAGTTTGGAAGAGAGGAGGGTGTTTCTTAGCTTCCCTTCCATCTTTATGAGTTGACCACCAGGCAATCTGACCTCTGAGGAGTTTATTAGAATTTCCTTCCAGAAGAACACTCGCCAGTTTGTTTCATCTTCTTCCTGCTGTCTTTCGTAGTTCTGGGTCCCGGGAACCTTGCATTGAAAATTTTCTTCATCACATAGGGAATTATCAAAATCCAGAATCTTTAGAAAAAACAGGAAGAAAAGTGCCAAGAAATTTTCCTGGCTGAGCCTGGGCAGTGTCTGAGGCAGAGCTCTGACTTTTTACCCGAGGTCACTAGCTGGGGGCCTGCTTTCCTTCCTTGTTATCATCTGTCTGGGCTTCCTCTCCTTGGGCTTTTGGTGTCCTCTTTGTATGGGTCACAGGTAGGCTGCAGAAGTCCCTGACTGTCCATTGGATCCTGGAAGATAGCTGTAGTGGTGGTATGTGAAACAGGGCTGTAGTCTACAGGTCTGATGTAGATAGAATGTTGTAGTATATTTCCGAGTCAAAATGAATGTGGCTCTGTGTCTGTTTTGAATATGAGCGTGGAGAAGGGTACATTTGTACTTTTCAGACTGTACTCTAGTCCCCTAGAATCATTTCTGCCAGGCCTGTAGGAGCAGGTGACCCCCTACAAGGACCTAGAGGAGGTGGGGGTGAGAATGACCAGGTAGGAGGAAAGTTTGGCCTCCCCTGGCCGGTGGCCAGCCTCATGACAGTTGTCATATGCAGCAGGGCATCCCCTTTTAGGTGGGGCCTGCTTCTTCTAGGACTGGTGGGAAAGCTTCATCACTGATAACTCTAGTCTTAAAAGGATGAGGATTACTGACTCTATGTCTACAGCTGCCTCTCCCACTTTTCAAAAGAGGTATCTCTGGTGTAACAGCAGTGTGCTTCTTACAAAGCACTTTACCAGATGTTGGAGTGCAACTTCCTAGTGGCTCAGAGCGAACTGTTCCATAACTGCTCCCGGTGCACCACTGCCGCACAGTAACTGGACAACTTGCCTTAACTCCTTCTTGCCTGTAAGGAATTAATGTGCGACTGGATTAATTGTGATTTGGAGTGTGCTGTTTTCCAGACAATGTCTTAAGATAGGGGATGGTATTTCCCCTATTCCTTTGTCCTTGGAGTTTTCTGATCTTTAGTGCTGGGATGATACAATCTCCAAAGGAAAAGTTTGACATTCTGACCTCCTGACAGACTTACTGCAGGCTTTGCAGCATGGTCACCACAGTTTTGTGGCTTTCAGTCTTGTCTCTCTGGTCTGTTATCATTTCTAATATTCTCCTTTTATTAAAAGGTGCTTGGTATTGAACTTTAGGCCACACATGCATGCTAAACACATATTTCACCATTGAACCATATTCACATATTTTTCCCCCATTCAAAAGTAAAGGTTCATTTACTAAGTACTTTAAAAATATTAACTTAAGTGGTACCTAGTAGACATTTAAATACATATATGCATCTCCCTCCACAACAACAGCAAAAATTAAGATAATCCTTGAAACAGACCTTGTAGGAATAGGTATCTTAATTATTTATTATTATTATTATTATTATTGTTCTTGTTATTATTAGTTGGTCTTTTTGAGACATGGTCTCCCTATAGTCCCAGCTGACCTGGAACTTACTATGTAGACTAGGTTGGCCTCGAACTCACAGAGATACACCTGCCTCTGCCTCCCAAGTGCTGGGATTAAAGGCGTGCGCTACCACGCCAAGCTTGGTATCTTTATTTTTAAAAATTTTAAACTGCTTGGTTTTTTTTTTGTTTTTTTTTTTTTTGAGGGACTGAGGGTGACTCACTGTGTAGCCCAGGTTGGCCTTGAATTCACTATGAAGCTCAGGCTGACTCAAATTCATGGCAATCCTCCTGTCTCAACTTCCTTGAGTGGTAAAATAATAGTAGTGAGTCACCATACAGCTTTTATTTTATTTTACAGAGAAGGAAATTAAGATACTGAGAAATTAAGTGACTTGCCTGAGGTTGCCCACCCAACAGCTGTTTGAGCCTTACTGATTATGAGGAACACTTCACCACTGCCCTATTAGTTTTGGCATTTTGCACAGCACAAGAAGTTATTACTCCTGGCTACCTGAGTTGGGTACCATACTGTGAACAATACCAGTCATTTGAATAAGGTGGGCAGTAACTGGTTCGGGTTCTTGTGGCTCTTACACATCTCCCCATTGGCTTTTCATTTCCCCAGAAGACTTTCTGTTTTCCTTTGCCTTTCCCCAGCACTGTAGTTGTCACGAGCTGTCCTGTGGATGTGATGGAGTCTGCCCTTTGGCTGCCTTTCTCAGGTTCTGTGGGTATTTCCTTTCAGCCTTCCAGCATGCAGAGAATGTGGCCTGACTCAGGTTCTGCCCAAGCCCAGTGGCACCAGGCCCACCTGGAGAGAGAGGTCTGGGTAACTAGGTTGGTTGGCATAAGAAATGGAACTACCTCTTGTTTGCTTTTCTAATAATAGCCCTGGACATTAGCCTCGTGCCATTATTTTGGGGAGTGTGGAATGTGTGGCAGCCACAAGCCCATTAGCCTCATCCCCTTCCCTCCAGGGATGAAGCCTTGGCAGGAGTTACAATTTCATCTCTTTTACTGAAGGGGGAAACTGAGGCAACAAGACTTCATTAGGGAGCAAGGGATGTTAGGGACACTTAGTGAGTCAGTGTCGGGGTTGGGAATAGGACAAGCAGCTCAGTCTGGGCTACCCTTTATGAATAGGGAGGTGAAGGGGGTAAGGAAGTGGGCCGGGTTAAAGGACGGGGTGCTAGGAACCAAGGAGAACCAGGCCCTGTGAGCTTTGTATAGTTTGTGTTAGAATGTATTCCAAGTGCTGAGGTTTGCATCTGGAAGGCTGTCAGGGAGGGTAGTAGAGAAAGGTTACTTCTAACTTCAGTGTCCTACTGTGCTGGGGCAAGGAAGCGAAGGGCCTAGGGCAGCTAGCAAGAGGCTGGGGAGTGTTTCCCTTTCAGGAATTCCTGGTGATTGGCATGTGCCAGATGGGTTCTATCAGGCCTCTAAGCACTTCAGATTCATCCTCATGCTCCTGTTCAGGATTGAGAGCCTTTCAGATAAAATAACAAGGGAAATTTTCAGGGATTAAAGCTATTTCCTGGATATCTTTTTAAAATTTTTTTTATTGCTTTTATATTACGTGTATGAGTGTGTTGCCTGTATGTATGTAAGTGTACCCATGTTGTGCAATGCCTGCAGAGGTCAGAAGAAGGCATTGGTTACCTTGGAACTGGAGTTATGGTAGGTTGTTAACCACCAGCTGTCCTGTGGATGTGATGGAGTCTGCCCTTTGGCTGCCTTTCTCAGGTTCTGTGGGTATTTCCTTTCAGCCTTCCAGCATGCAGAGAATGTGGCCTGACTCAGGTTCTGCCCAAGCCCAGTGGCACCAGGCCCACCTGGAGAGAGAGGTCTGGGTAACTAGGTTGGTTGGCATAAGAAATGGAACTACCTCTTGTTTGCTTTTCTAATAATAGCCCTGGACATTAGCCTCGTGCCATTATTTTGGGGAGTGTGGAATGTGTGGCAGCCACAAGCCCATTAGCCTCATCCCCTTCCCTCCAGGGATGAAGCCTTGGCAGGAGTTACAATTTCATCTCTTTTACTGAAGGGGGAAACTGAGGCAACAAGACTTCATTAGGGAGCAAGGGATGTTAGGGACACTTAGTGAGTCAGTGTCGGGGTTGGGAATAGGACAAGCAGCTCAGTCTGGGCTACCCTTTATGAATAGGGAGGTGAAGGGGGTAAGGAAGTGGGCCGGGTTAAAGGACGGGGTGCTAGGAACCAAGGAGAACCAGGCCCTGTGAGCTTTGTATAGTTTGTGTTAGAATGTATTCCAAGTGCTGAGGTTTGCATCTGGAAGGCTGTCAGGGAGGGTAGTAGAGAAAGGTTACTTCTAACTTCAGTGTCCTACTGTGCTGGGGCAAGGAAGCGAAGGGCCTAGGGCAGCTAGCAAGAGGCTGGGGAGTGTTTCCCTTTCAGGAATTCCTGGTGATTGGCATGTGCCAGATGGGTTCTATCAGGCCTCTAAGCACTTCAGATTCATCCTCATGCTCCTGTTCAGGATTGAGAGCCTTTCAGATAAAATAACAAGGGAAATTTTCAGGGATTAAAGCTATTTCCTGGATATCTTTTTAAAATTTTTTTTATTGCTTTTATATTACGTGTATGAGTGTGTTGCCTGTATGTATGTAAGTGTACCCATGTTGTGCAATGCCTGCAGAGGTCAGAGAAGGAGTCAGATACCTTGGAACTAGAGTTAGGGCTGATTATTAGCCTCCATGTGGGTGCTGGGGATTGAACTCAGGTCCTCTGCAAGATCAGTCAGTGCTCTTAACCTCTGAGCCATCTCTCCAACCCCTTTCCTGGATATCTTTAGCAGGATATAATAGGGACTAGGGAGTGTGGTGGGTCCTACCTGTAGAACTTGATACTTGAGAAACTGATGCAGGAGGATTGCTGGAGGCCAAGAGTTTGAGGACAGCCTGAACAACTCAGACCCAGAGATAGATAGATAGAGATAGAGATAGAGATAGATAGAGATAAAGAAATAGCGAAAAGAAACCAGGGAACGTGGTAACACATCTTTACAGACGTCTTTCTGGAGATGACCCAGGAGAACCTGGTCTTTGAGAACTTGCTCACTGGCTGTCACTGTCAGAGAACCCAACTAGGGGATAGGTACTGCTCAAGTTCCCAGTGGTAGACCAGAGGCTGAGGTGTTTTGATGTAGTTGAATGCTAGAAGGTGTGTGACTTTCTGGAATAATTAAGTGTCCCTATTTTCCAAGTTTCCGTGGTTTGGGGTAAGGTGTGGTAAAAAGATGAAAGGATGGTAATGGAGAGAGAGCTAAGGATAAAGGGGAACCTTTCTTGGTGCTTGTTCTAAACATGCACCCCTTTCATTTTGTCTGCTCACATAACTCTGGGGTTGCAGTTGCGTCTCTCGCTGCTTAGATCTTGGAGGCACAGAAAGTGTTCCTATCAGTCTTGGGGACTAGGTATGTTGTTTGGGAGCCCTGGGCCAGGTATATGGGCAGAATGTGTAGGTAGGACCAGGGGAAGAGGGGAGTGAATGAGAATTCTGACCTTTAGGGGAAAGGGCCAGTAGGAACAGTGATATTATAGTTTCAGATGGCAAAGTGAGAGCTGGAAAATTGTGCTGGGGTTAAGGGAGAGGGTAGGGGTCTTGTTTGGAACCAGGCTTGGACCTGCCAAGCCTTTGGCACTTTTCATTGTACCTGCTAATTGTATGGGTCTGTGCATCCTTGCTGGAGTCTGGTCTGGTCTTGTACCTTTCTGGCTGGCTGTAGACTGAGACATCACCCACAGAACAGGATTCTCACCGGGATTCTAAGTTCTGAGGCGTAGCCCTGGCAGAGCACTGTCCTGGTGGGACTGAGGAAGAAATGCTGGCTGGAATCTGGCAGCTGTGCAGGCACAGACCTGTTAGGCAGCCAGTGCTTAGGGGGATGCTGGCATCAGCTCTACGGGAGTGCCAAGAGGCTACCTAGTGGGTCCTGTCAGCCTTTCTAGACCCTGCAACACAGATGCCATCCCTCGCCCTTCATCTTCCCCGACCGAGATGCCACTAGCTACACCTCTCTGGCGGCGAGAGCCCAGGCGGTGTGGTTGGCAGTAGGGGCGCGCAAACATCAGGCGTGGGCGGTCTGGCAGCTCTAGGAGTTTGCATGGAGGTGCAGCCAGCCTGCGTGCCTGGCTGGGAAGGAAGGAGGGAGGAGGAGGGCGGGGAAGGGGAGCCAGCTCCTAGCCCCACGTGGCTATTTTTAGCCAGGCTATCTGATTGTTACCGGTGTGCACACAGCTGGGTGTCTCCCTGGTTTAGTGAAGCCTACCAGGCCTGGGAGGTGGGAGGTCCTTGTTTGGTGACTTCTTCCTGGTGCTGGTGTCTGTGGGCGGGAGCCGGCAAGGGGTAGCTTTAAAGGTGTGAGGGCAGCTGTGACCAAAGGATCTGTTTCTTCTGTGTGTGACCTTGCGCTCCTTTGGTAATGTATTGTGTATTTAATTGTGGTGTCTGGATGTTTTCTTCTGTTCACGTGCTGGTCTTTTATCTCGTTGCTGGTTGTCATAATTTGGTTATTTATTATTTATTGTGATGCTGGAGCCTGAATCCAGGGTCCCATGCATGTTAGGCAAGTACTCTACCACTGAGCTACATCTGCAGCCTCTCTTTTTCCTTTCTGTTGGGAGAGAAGGTCTCACTAAGTTGCTCAGGCTGCCTCTGAACTCACTATGCAGCCCAAACATGCCCTGAACTTGCGATTCTTTTGCCTCAGCCTCCTGAGTAGCTGGGCTTTCAGACCAAGCTCAGTTGTTATGATTTACACTTGGGATATGTCTAATATGCCTCCTAAGCACATGTATGTTTGGTAAGAGGCATTATGTGTCATATGAAGCATCTTTAGAATCATTGGCGTGTGCTTTGTTACTGTGTACTTGTGTTTTTTTTTTTAACATGTGCACTATTGCTGTACTTGTGAATATTGTATGTAATTATACAAGTGTCATGTATTTGGAGACCAGACTTGGGCAAAGTTTATCTAAGTGTTTTTGTTGTTGTTGTTGTTTTATTGTGTGTGTGTGTGTGTGTGTGTGTGTGTGTGTGTGTGTGTG